TTTGTATTGGCGGAGGGCTCTACAAATCGGACCTAACCTTCCAGAAATGTATAGGCAGTAGATCTTGTGCTTAAGTCACTATCATAGGACTCAGGAAACCTATGCTGTGCCACAGACTTCCTGTGTGACCCTGGGCAAATCACTGAACCTCTCTGATCCTTAGTTCCCCCATCTATAGATGGGATGATAATATTGCTTTGTCTGTCTTGTCTATTTAGATTGTAAGTTCTTTAAGGCAGGGCTGTCTCTGTGTGTTTGTAGAGTGTATAGCACAATGAAACCCTACTGCAGCTAGGAATTCCAACTGCTACTGTAATTGAAATAATAATATAATACAAGTAAGTGCATAGTAAGAATGCACTGAATTTTCCATGAGAAAACAGCAGACAGGTTTTTGGTTCTCTCTGAGGTTTGCAAAAATGTATTTTTAATGTGACCCACCTCAAGTATTTGATTTTGAAAAAAAGTCCCACATTGTAAATTGTTTCCTTTTAACTTGTTTTGCAAGCCCTAAGGTAACTGAATAAACCTTTGAATGGTTTCCCCCAATCTGAATATATATGTGCACTGTATTTATACTTACACATAAGAGCTGATGCAGTAGAATTAAAATTGACTTTCTCAGTGTTGATTGTTAATTGCCTGGCATTTGGCTATCATCTCAATCCTTATTGTTTATTTACAGCATATTTCCCCCTTTGATTAAAAACTCTGCAGTAAAAAAAGTTTGTTGTAAATCCCTTTGCATGATGTAAGTGATTTAAAACAATAATTAGAGTGCCATAAAAATGAAAACATATTTAGTTAATCGATTGTAGGCTGTAAAACAGGTTTTTACCTTCCAGTTTTATTGGTATTCAATCTCTGCTTGATGTTCATTTTAATTTAGAGACAAACTTTTCAATTTCCTTTTTTTGTCGCTGTGGGTGTGCTGTTCACTTGGGAAGGAAGCAGTTGAAACTTGGAAGGATTCTGCAAAATGAGTAGAACGCTTTTTGGCGCAACGCCCCACCTCTATTGCATGCATCGCAAATGGTTCAGTGGCACCCATAGATGCTGTTGTCATTACGGCTGATGTGGTATTTTCATCATAATGTTGTACTTTGGTGCTCAGCCCATGTCAGGGGCCTGTTTTGTCGCACACCTTGATTGCATACGTTCAAACACTAAGGTCATCACTGGGAGAGGAACCAGAATTTTTCAGTGCCAAAAGCACAAATTGCTGCTTTCTGAGTCAGGGTCTAATTCTCATCTGGTCTAAATCGGCTTAGTGGCTTTGTGAGTAATGTGGATTTACACCAGCTGAGGGTCTGGACCTAACTCAGTAAATAGGAGGTGCTTGTATCCACTGGCGCCAGCCACTAAAGAAAGAGATGATCATATGCTCTGAGCTAATGAACAGAAATGTTCCTCTCTGGGTGAGCCAGGAATGGTGTTCATCACTGCAAAAGGCCTGAAAATCAGCCCTCTGTGACATACTGTGGTGTTATCCAGACCAGGGAGGGGCTGTGTCATCGCCTTCCCCCTTTTAACTGGAGGCCCCTGCAACGTTTCGCTGCTGTATATCCCAACCTGGATCGCTCACAAACAGCCTTCAGCATGCAGGTGTCCCCAAGTGTCTATGTGTAACTGCAGCCTGCTAGCCACACTGGGGCTCTCGTCAGCCTGGGTTACTACTGCAGGGTGACCCCAACACACTCCCAGTCCAAAAATGTATGTTCTGTACTGTCCAGCCCACTCCTGGACAGTCCAGAGGTATTAGGTCTGCAGTCCCTCTATGGGAACAATACACAACAACTTGCCACCTTAAATGGAGTTACCCAGACAGTTTAACTTAAACACACTGGATTGGATTAAATAATACAACAAGTTTTATTGACAAAAGAAGAGAGGATTTTAAGTAATGAGGCATAAAAGTCATAAATCGTTACACAAAAAATAAAGACAAAACATTTCCTAGTGCCTAACTTAACAAACTATACTTGATTCAAGGCCAAGTCCTAATCACATCATTCAAAAGCATTACTTACCAAAATTTTCAGGTCAGGACCCCTCCTCCAAAGTCCAACCGCTGTTTCTTTTGTCTTCCTAGGTTCAAGGAGTGAGATGGACAGGGAGAGAGATACCTTGGGGTGTTTGCCCCTCACTTTTATAGTTCAGTCCCCCCCCATAAAGTTCTATCCATCTGAGCAGAAGGAAATACGGAGTCTAGTGAGGAAAGATTCTTCATGCGGTTTTCTTTCACTTGTGTGTGCTCAGATGCAGATTTTCTTTTCTCTCTTGCTGTCTGAGGACTCTGTTTACAGCTTATATGCAAACTGAAGTAACTCTACACCCCTTTCTTTAAGACATGCTTGACCAGTTATGCCTTAATTTGTGCTACATGAGTTGGAACATGTGCCTTTAACATTAGATACGGGAGATTTCATAACTTTACACCCAGTGTTGCTGCATACATTTCACCATGATAGTGTTGACCAGCGAGTTATTAGTTTTCAAATGTTACCTCACAAGGCCTATTATAAGATTATTATACTAGGGTGTAGGGTGTGAATACAGGTGTGGCTATTGCCGGGGGGAAGGAATGTGGCATAGCTAGAGATTTCCATAGCCCCGCAAGCACCTCCTGCTCCATGCTGGTTCTGACCAGACACCTTTTAATTTAACTCCTTGTGTTGCCTGGAAAATATGAATGGACAATAGGCTAAATTTTGGCTCTGTTAGCCTACTCGGGATTTGTACTGAGAACTCCCTACTGCATTCATAAATGGGGGAGGCATAGCTCAGTGGTTTGAGCATTGGCCTGCTTAAACCCAGGGTTGTGAGCTCAATCCTTGAGGGGGCCATTGAGGGATCTGGGGCAAAAAGTGGGGATTGGCCCTGCTTGGAGCAGGGGGTGGGACTAGGTGACCTCCTGAGGTCCCCTCCAGCCCTGATATTCTATGATTAATTCAATGGAGAATTTCACATATGGATCAATAGCAGGCCTGAGCATTCATCCTGGAAGTTAATTTCCAGACTTAATGAAGCAGCTTGATTTAATAATTATTGTTGCATCTCTTTTAGGGTTCATTAATAATATATTAAGACTTTGCAATATATTTATGTATTATTGGTTGAGCTGGTAGCCACACTTATAGATAAGAGTCCATTATAAAGACTGTTTTTCAGTTGCATATAACTTTGCAGAACTTTAACCATTTGGGCCCAAATTTTCCAAGCTGGGTGTCTGCCTCAGGCTGAACTTTTTGGGAAACTTTTGAGCAAAGATGGCGTAGCCATTTCCAAGAACAAGGATGGGGGGAAATATGCTGTTTTGCCCAGGATAACCACTATTACAAATGTTTCCTTGAGAAACGCTAGCCCCTCCATGCTTTGGAGCAGGGATGGGAAATTTGGCAGGGGATCACCATGGGATCATACAGGCGTCTTTTGCTGCCCCTCTGCAAATCCACACAAATCTATTCAAGTGAGTAGCATGTGAAAACTGCCAGTTGCACATACACAGGAGAAGTTTGTTACATGTTATGGCAGCAAAATTCTTTGACAGATGCTGCCTGGCATTGAGCATGCTCCACTCCTACAAAGCTGACTGCGCATGCTCCCTCCCAGGGCTGCAGGGGCTGAGCCTGAGTTCACGGCTGGTGCCCTCTGTGGTGCCAGGTATTGGCACTGGGAACAATCTCAGACAGAGCAAACCGGTTTTCGCTGGCTCCCAGTGTTCCTCCTGCTGTTGCCCAGGAGAAGGGGGGAAAGCCTGAGCTGAAAGCACAGGGGTGAGGAACAGAGGGGGAACAGGGCAGGTTGGGAATAATAGGAGCAGAGGGGGATAGGCTGGAGAGATGTTCAGGGGCAGAGTGCTCCAGGCTGGGGTGTAGGAAAGGGGACACCAGGTCTGTAAGCACTACTTGAACACACCCCTACAGAACCAGGACCCCAGCCCCAATATTCCTCTGCTGTCGAGCGAATAGCTGGCAAAGGGCGTACCTCACCCCCACTCCTAGAGTCTGGTGCCTCGCCTGGGAAAGAAAAGGTGTGTTTTTAACTTGCCTAAGGTGTCAAAATCCTAGTGTAGACAAGGCAGGGTGTAGATTTAACAGGTGCTAAAGGGCTCATGGTAACTCCTAGGCTCCCCCCTAAACTGTAACTCCCCCGGTTTAAAACCCTGCCTTGTGTATAGGAGACTTTTAGAAGGTGCTAGCTCACACCTTCCCATCCTACTCCGGACAGAGCCTGAGGCTGGCATCCTGGATCCTCGACAGAGGCAGGAGTTCATTCTCTGGGTCTGGCTAGCGCGCCGCTGCCCCAGCAGGGCCCGTGCGTGTCCCGCAGCCGGAGCCCGGCACTCCCGCCCCCGGGGCCGCCCCCCTGCTCGGGCTGAGTGCCGCTGGGGGCCGGGGGGTGGGTGTCACGCTCCGCTCCTTCAGCCCGACGCTTCGCAGGCGCATCCCGCCGAGCGTCAGGAGCCCGGCTGGTCCCTGCCTCTCGCCCCGCCGCTGCCTGCGCCGTCTCCAAAAGGGGAGGGACTTTGCCAACTCCCCGGCCCCGCACCGCCGGCGTCTTTGCCCAGGTCAGGCACCCGCGGGACTCCCCTGCCCCGCCCGGGACCGGCCCCGGCCGCGGACTCCGAAAGGGGACGGAGCGGCCGCCGCACCAGCAGCTCCCGCCGCCTGCGCGCCCTTGCGGGGTGCCCGGCCGCGGTCCCCGGGGCTCCCCGCCTCGGAGCGGCTCCCCTCGGGCAGGAGCCGGGGACCCGCCCCCCGCAGCGGGGCAGCGGCAGAGGAGGAGGGCGGCCAAGGGGGCTGGCTCAGAGGTGGCTCCGCCGGTGCCCAGCGCTGGCCCCGGGACCGGGCGCTGCATCCTCCCGCGGCTGGGCAGCAGCCTGGGGGGCCCCCGCTGGGCCAGGCTCGCCCGGGCCCGCGGGGCGGCGGCGGCGGCGGCGGCCGAGGGGAGCATGTGCCGGCCGGGCGGCGCTGGCCGGCCCCCGGCAGCGGCGCCCCATGGGCGGTAGCCGCGGCGGGCTGGCGGGGCAGCTGGGCGGGCTGCTGCGGGCGCAGCCCCGCGCCTCCCTCGGCCTCCCCATGCTGCTGCTCGGCACCTACTTCTTCTACTGCCTGACGGGCTCCTGCGAGCCGCTGCCGCCCGCCGCCCGCCAGCTGCGCCCGCCGCCCCGCGACCCCGCCGGGGACCGGCCCGAGGAGCCGGCGGCGGCGGCGGCGGCCGGGGGCAGGTCCGGGCCGGGCAGCCGGCGCTTCCCGCAGGCCATCATCGTGGGGGTGAAGAAGGGCGGCACCCGGGCGCTGCTGGAGTTCCTGCGGGCGCACCCCGCCGTGCGCGCCCTGGGCGCCGAGCCCCACTTCTTCGACCGCGGCTACGAGAAGGGGCTGCCCTGGTACAGGTGAGACCCGGGACAGCCCGCTCCGCCCCGGGGATTCCTCCGTCGCGTAGCCCGGGTCAGTCCCCGTTCCCCGCACCCAGCCCGGGTCAGTCCCCGTTCCCCGCACCCAGCCCGGGGCACGCCCGCGTAGCCCGGGTCAGTCCCCGTTCCCCGCACCCAGCCCGGGTCAGTCCCCGTTCCCCGCACCCAGCCCGGGGCACGCCCGCGTAGCCCGGGTCAGTCCCCGTTCCCCGCACCCAGGCCGGGTCAGTCCCCGTTCCCCGCACCCAGCCCGGGGCACGCCCGCGTAGCCGGGTCAGTCCCCGTTCCCCGCACCCAGGCCGGGTCAGTCCCCGTTCCCCGCACCCAGCCCGGGGCACGCCCGCGTAGCCCGGGTTCGCTCCTGCTGAACCTGGGGCACTCCTGTGTTCTGGCTGGATTCGCTCCTGCTCCCAGGCCACACGGTCCAAGTGACTCCTCTGTAAAAATACACCGGTTTAGCCCCCTTTCCCTGCACTCAAGACAGGTCACTCCAGTGTAACCCGGCTTCAGTCCTGCTCCTCCACCCAACCCGGGTCACTCCAATGTAATCCAGGATTGCCCCTGTTCCCACCGGACTTCATTCAAGTTACTCCTCTATAATGTACTCCACATTACCCCCTTTCCCCACACTCAACCGAGGTCACTCCAGTGTAATGTGCGTTCACTCCTGCTTCCACTCCCAGTCAACCCCGTGACTCCTCTTTAGTGTAATCCAGGTTAGCCCCCTTTCCCTGCACTCAGTCCAGGTCACTAATCTGGATTCACTCCTGCTCCCACCCAGCTCCATCCAGGTTACTCTGTTGTAATCTGGGTTACCCCCTTTTTCGGCACTCAGTCCAGGTCCAATGTAATCTGGGTTTACTCCTACTGCCCCACAATCCAGATCACTCCTCTTTATTGTAATTCAGGTTCACTCCTGTGCCCACCCCACTGAATCCAGGTTACTCTATTGTAGTCTGGGGTCCCCCTGGTCCCCCCAGTCAATGCAGGTTACTCTTCTTGAATATAATCTGGGTTCACTCCTGCTCTCCCCACTTAATCCAGATTACTCCAGTATAATCTGTGTTCACCCCTGCTCACATCCACTCAATCCAGGTTACTCCTCTTTAATATAATCCCAGTTAGCTGTTGCTCCCAACAATTCAATCCAGACTAACCACCCCCTAATCCATGCAATTCAGGTTGCCCTCTGCTCCCATTCAACTCAAACCAGGTTGCCCCTCTAAAATTAATTACTGTCTCTTTAAAAATTTTCTATGCACACTTTTTGAGGGGGTTATGGTGTGGAAAGATGACCTGGGTTGCATTGGTTTTGTCCCGTCCCTCCCCGCATTAGAAAAAGGCAGTAATAATCTTTCAAGGCATGAATGGGCTGTTAGTTTAAAAAACAATCATGCCAGGGAGTGTGTATGTGGGAACCCTGTACCTAATTTTTATTAGCAGAGTGACTAAAATGCCAAGTCTAAGAAATCGACTTTATGTACAGCCTTTATAAAAGCGTGCCTAGCCTTTCCCAATCTCTCCCTCCTTGGGAAATCATTCACCTCCTCGGGTCTCTGCGGATGCTGCGTTTTCATAGCACAGCAGGAATGAATGCCCCGTGTGCATAATAAATCATGAGCCACTTCTCTGCAGCATCATACAGTTTAAAGTATGCCAACCTGTGTCAGACCCGTGGTGGGGTATCTGGTAATGCCTTGGTCTCTGCTCCAGTGCCAAAGCAACAGGTTTACAGTGATCAGGCTTTAAGTTCCAGCCCGTGCCGCCCTGTGTGCTTTGGAAAGCTCTGAGCACGTGCTGGGGGCTCTCAGTCTAAATTATTAATAATAATCCGTCTAATTTTTTTTATTCTTAACACTTAAAAACAACTTTTTTTTTTTTTAAAGGGAGGCTGACAGAAGTTCCAGTAGTAACCCATACTTAAAATGACCTTTTATGCCTGCTAGTTGCAAGGCTGGCTTTCGCTGCAAAAATGTTTATCAGAACAAAACCTGTCTTGTTTCCTGAGTCTGAATGTTATTTCAGGGATTCGGAGGCCAGTGATCGACCAATCAGTGGTCTTAATAAAAACAAAAATTAAATTGCAGGCATGGATGGGAACAGTCCATTGCAAGTTTGTTGGTTAATGTCAGCATGAACCCAGTGAATCTTACATGATAGGAAGCCCTGGGTCTATTTTTCAGAGGAGTTGATCGCCAGCTGTTCTCACGGCCTTCAGCTGGAGTTGTGAGTGCTCAGTAACTGTGCAAATCGGGCCCCCTGTTCTTAACGCACCATACTGTACCTATATGTGGCAGGCTTCGCTGGTTCTGGGACAGATGGCATAGGTTAAGGAAAGACTGATGAATCTAGAGACTTGGCTTCTGAATTACCTGGGATTTATGGTTTTAACCCTTAATATTTTATCCTTGATACACCTGCAATTTTTTCCCATTTCCTTTTATGGTGTTTCATTTAGGGAATTTAAAAAAGACTGAGTACCCATTAGCATTGCATGACATGGTTGAATCGATCAAAGGAATCACTTATTTACAGTGGGTTGGAAATATTGGCACAGTGGAGAGAAGCGGGAAAAAAACTATTGTCTGAATTCCTTGATACGTCACGGCCGGCCCGTTGTGTCAAAGGGCAGACCCGTATTGATTCAAGGGAGTTGTTTGGTTTCAAGGGTTTCAATGGAGTTGAACTCTTCAGGCGATAAAACCTTTGGAAGAGCAGCTACTGTGCATGTGTTGTCTATTAAACTTTCATATCTTGGCCAACTGGAAGTGTCTGGGCCAAATTCACTCATGATGTAAGTCCCCCAAAGTCAGTGAATGAATCTAGCCTGTTAGGTTGAAGAGAGCCAACATGTGCAGATTGATAAAGTGTCACTCTGTTTTATTCAAACATCTGAAAGTAATGAACGGGGGGAGCCCTGTCTGTCTTTCTGTCGGTTCAGCTATTGTTTTCTCTTCTAAACCAAAACAAAAAAGATTTTTTTCTTTTCAATTACTTCATCTTTCTTCACATTTCTTTCCGTCGCGGGGAAGGTTTAAGGTAATAATTCTCCCTGAAACACAAACCCTTGAAAGTCAGGGCTTTGAATGGAAAGTGAGGTAACTTTAGCCTCACAGTTGCAGCTCTGTAATACCACATCTGGGCTGTGAAGTTGTTGACTTAGTGCCCCTTCAAGTACAGTGAGCAGCAAAGGTATTTTTATGATTGTATTAATGTTACAAGGATTTATGATTTCATTTCTAAGTTCAATATATTCCTACGCTGTTGACAATAATCAGTCGTCTCTTTCTCGTTGAAAACCAATCGATGGATCTAACCAGCCAGAAAAACATTTTAATGACAATTATACACATTATGAAACCCCATACAGAAGTTAGAATACTCTTAAATGGCTACAGTGGAGCGAAGAGAAAGTTGCAGCGTGTACCGCAGAGGCATAAAATGAGTAAATATGCTTCGTGCCGCATTAGTTGTGAATTTTGAGGGATATAAATGTTTGCAGGGAGTTTAGGTGAGACCAACGAAACGTTTTAAAATGGTTCTGAGCATTGTGGAATCAGTGGAAATACAAGTAGAGAACATTTTTATATCGTTAACTGAATACCAGAAATGAGTGCAATATTCTATAAAGATGTGACTGTTATCTCTCTGGTAAAGAAGAATCTTTAAAGACACTTCGCTGTGATTCAGAGTAGAACAAGTCTGCATTCAAAACAATATGTATAAGAATATTTCTTCTATTACTCTTTGCTTTTCCAGTTTTATTTTCATATGAAAATGTGTTTTCATTGTTGTTTCTTCATTTAACGTCAGACTGAGCTAAAGTTGAGATGTGCCTGTGTGAAAAGAGAAGGTGGATAAAAGTTTAAACTTTTCCTAGGACTGTCTCAAAGTGGTGTAAACATTTTTTTTTAAATATTTGAATGAGCCAAGAAACTAAAATTACACCAAAGCTTTTAATGTCAACACATTGGGGCCCTGGGGCTCCTGTATAGAGTTGTTGCTTGCCTTAAGTAAATTAAAAAAAAAAATTCCTCTAGAATATGTACAACTCCAGATTCCCCTTCTTCATAATCATAGTTCAGTTTCCCGTGCTTGGAACAATTGTTGTACTGAAATGAGCAGTATTTAGTTGTAGTTGTGGAGTAGTTTATATTATATTACCCACTTAAAGCATTGTTTAGTTAATTGATTACAAACATTCATTCTAAGTTAGTCTTTCACTGTGTATTTAAATTCAATTTATCTGCTCTGCCTTTTTGAAAAGGGTAGGGTGGGGTGGGGGTCTTTGTTAATGGCTCGAAAGTCTTCAGCATAAACCGACCAAATATCTAATGTGACGGTTTTCTGGTTACTATAGGTTTAACTCATAATGTGAGGATAAACAGCTTTCCTTTCTGGTTTATGACATAAATAACCTAATGGACAATCCAAGCATGAAGTGAATTATTATCCTAAAGCAAAACCATTTTTTTTGCACTTAACACTGTGTAAACTAAACCTAAATGGAAAGCAAAGCTGATGTTTGTAGTCAGTTTGGCTACTGGGGTAACAATGCACTGTCTTTCAAAGGAGAAGGGTTTTTTTTTTTTTTTAAATTTAAATATTAGCACTTTATTGTCTCTCTGTGTAGTTATTTCTCTGCTTTATGGAAATAAAGAAAAGGGAAAATGTAAATACTTCAAATTGCATGAAGACATAAGTTGACAAGTGATTTTTAGAATTCTAGCAGGAATATTTTTAGGGATGCTAGCTAACCATGAAGACATGGGGGCAGTTCTGCACTCATTTGGATTGGTGCATGTATCCCCTAACTCTACTGAAGTAAAGGGCCTCAGCTACTGTAATGCATTGACATAACGCCTTCATTTCACTGGAGCTCTGCCTATTTACATCAGCAGACTGTCTGGCCCAATGCAGTTAGTCTGTACTTGCCATGTAAACGGGATCAGAATCAGGGCCACAACCTGTATTGAAAG